AAAGGTAAAATGAAAATGACACAGACAGAGAAATGAATAAATTATACTCACCTAAATACTATAGTTGGAAGAATAAAAAAAAAGAACTAAATATACTTATTCATTTTTCTATATTATATATTATAATTTTTTATTATCACATAAATAGAAATTGCAAAATTTTAAAAATACTGTTAAGAAAGTCCGACTATTGATTAAATTTCATATAACAGAAGAAACTCTTGTTTAAACGGAAATATAATTTCATATAAAATCATGTCCGCAAAAAAAAAAATACAATATTGAACTGTTGTAATAAGAGCTAAGAGAAAAATGGGAAAAAAATAAAAAAATAATGCTTTCATAATTACGGAGGCTCAAAGTGCAAGACCTACAGAGGCTCAATGTTGAGCCTCCGTAGTAATTACGGAGGCCAATTTCCATAATTACGAAGGTTCAACACCTTTTGAGCCTCCGTAATTATGGGGGCACAAATTTCATTTTTTTTTCTTTCTTCTTCCTTCACTGACTTTCAGTAAAAAAATTTAATTTCATTTATTCAACTTAGTTTTTTAATAGATGTGATTCCTAAAATAAATACATAAAATATAAATAAATTTTGTTTATATATACAAAGATTATATAAATCCTTCAAAGGAGCAGAAATGTAGATAAATAATAGACATATTAATCACATTTTCAATCGTAACATTTTGAGTGCAATCAAATAATGTGTGAAACGTGTTACGATCAAATAGTCACTCATGTGATATTTCAATAATTTTTTTCTCATCACTTTTGTTTTTGGGAAGAGTAAGATCAGGTTTTTTCAGTAACATATTGTCCATTTCTACAACCCTTGAACCTCTTGTCAAATCTGAAGAAAAAGAAAAAAATAGAGGAAGTACATATCCTTTAACTTAAATAGCTTCTCCTGTTTTCAAAATTTATCTTAAATCACTCCTCACATAAAATATTTACATATCTTTGCTTGCAGGTGCTTAACAAAAAGGAAATCAGGTGTCTATCTACTATTTCTTGATTACCCTAGCTATTTTTTCAAGACTAAATTTTACAGTTTTAACTTACATCTTATTTATTGAATATAGATTAACTAAATTTTAATTTTCAATTCTATTAAAAATCGAACACAAATCATAAATTTCTCACCAAACTTCATGATATTCTTCTACAACGACATACAAGATATTTTATTTTTTAAATCATATACAAAGTTTATCTTATAGACATTGAACTTCCATTAACAAACTTTCTAACTCGCCTATATTGCAAAATCTACCTTAAAATCTATATCAGGGCCTCCACAACGTAAATAATAGAGTTCTTCTAACAAAATTTTCATTGTAGTATATCGAGAGAGAATGGAGGTGTTACATCGTTTCTTTGGAATCATTACTCCTTCACAAAACCATAATACCCATCTGATTAGTCACACAACAGTTTCTCCTTTCACATTTGAATAGATGCATTCTTAATATCTCTCTTATACTTTTTAATGTATATGTATAGATACTTCCCAAATCCTTTGTCAACGATTGGAGACACTAACTTAGTGACACAGTACGAGTAACTGCATATAATGGTATAATTCTCACAATAAGATTGGAAATAGATGATGGAAGAATATATTTTGCCGATGGATGGGAACAATTTTTTGACCAGTATAACTTACAGGATGCTCATGTTTTGGTATTTGAATATAATGGAAACTCCACATTCAATATGACCATATTTGACCATTCTGGATTAGAGGTCACATATGACTCCGATGTTCCTGAAGAATACAACGTTTCACATACAGATAACCCAGCATTTGAAATAACACTAACACCTCATCACAACAGCCATCGAGAAATTGTAGGTGTCATCTTTAATATCTCATTCTACATTCATCTCTTCCACATAAATTTAATTCAAAGATCAATAATTTATTCATTTATGATTTTTCAATATATACCAGGATGGTTCTCTAGATATCACCTGCCAAGAGGTGTGCGAAGTGTTCAAATCCATGATTTTTTACATCACAATTGGGAGCTCGCCACAAATTTATGACCAAACGGTAGGCTGGGCAGGTTTTGTTACAGAAAAAGAACTACAAATGGATGATACATGTGTTTTTGAATTTTTGAACAGTGAACCCCCAAAGTTTATCGTCTACAAAAGAGACCATGTTGGTGGAAGTTTGACACGTCTATAAGACCTCTTTGCTTTCTTCTAAGTGAATTTGTATACACCGAAAATGTTTTATTTTCATGTTAGTCAATGTTAATCCATTCTGCTATTTATACACCCAATTCTATTTACTCTCTTATTTACCAACCCATTCCATCCACATTTTAATGATTTCCAAATAACTAAAAGTGAGCAATACAACACCATTCCTTTATTGAAACTCCTTAATTGAAATATAATGTTCATAATAAATTTGCACACACATTACGCAAATAGATACATTGTTTCACCAAAACATTTGTTTTATATTCACTTATATAGAAACCACTATAGACGTATATTTCTTTTTTTATTTTTTTTTATTTTGATATGGATCCATTGTACACAAAAAAAAAAAAAAAAAAAAAAAATTAAAAAAAAAAATTCAAAAAAAAACCAATTCAAAAAAAATGAAAAAAAAAAATATAAATCACATTTC